TGGCGAAAAATTATGGTGATGCAAAAACAAAACACATTAAAAACCATTTCTAAGATAAATTATTTTTAGTTCTAAAATTTAAAAAGTAAATTTTATATTAATGTTGGCAGACTAGTATCCTCTTAAAAAGTTTGAATTTTCTTGATTTAATTGGCACGTAAATGCTGCTATAGTTTTGCCCACCGCTGTAGAAAATATTTGAAAGCTTAAGATATGTATCCCAATAAATAACAAAATTGTTTGCAGACCAGCATGAAGGGTAATCATTTCTGGGAAATCTAAAAGATTCTTTAATTTTAAACAAAAAGTTTCATTTTATTTCACATCTACTAGCTGTTAACTTAAAACCTAAACTGCATCTATTTATGTACAATACATTGAAGTTATTAGAGAGTTTGGGAGTTATGGGCGGTGGTGTGTATGTGGTTTCTTGAGTATTTAGTTAAATAAGTTAAATTTGACTTTTGCGGCCACTGTGGTAACCATGGAATACGCGGAATTCGCCGCCTTCTCATCAAAGGTTTCTCGGAATTCCAGCGAAGCATACGGGGCTTCGCTTCGATCCAGAGCTAATGTAATTGCTTTAATTATTACTTCAACTTAAAGGTGCAGAGCTGCACTTTCGACTATTTCTCCATCTGGTTGTTTTTGGGGTTATTCTGTGCTCAGTCTTTAAAAGCAACTGTACGATTCTTATGTATTCTGTGTGCATATTTAATTCTTTATGCCTGTGTTATGTGTGTGCGTGTGTATATGTGTATTTGCACTGGGAAAAAATCAACTTATGGATTTTATATCTATTATCTTCAAGTAATATAAAACTTGCTTGACTCATAGTCTGATAAATTCTAAAAATATTTAGTTGTAGGTATAGACAATATAAAACAAAAAAAAGGATTTAAGGTTAATTTGGATTGTGTTTTGCAACAGTATATCCAAATTCAATCACCTGAGTCAAGCAGTTATAATATTGTTTGAAAAGAAAAGTTCAGAATAAGGTATTCTTAAATAAGTAGTCCAAGCTCCTGATTTTTTTTCCGTGTAAATGTGTGGCAAGCATTTTAAGCCCACTGTTATTGTGGTTTCCTTCTGATCCTTCGTCATCCTTTGGCTCCTTTTGTCGCCTCTCTTCTTGCCTTCTTCCATTGACTTTCAGACCTCAAACTGCCGTGACTTAAATTGTGTGTGTGTGTGTGTTCCGTGAGGCTCTGTATGTGTGCTTTTTTAAAAGCCCAATTTTTTCAGGGCCTTCAGGTCTACATCGCCATAGTAATCCTCGCTGTAAAAAGCAGAAATGGGAGAATTAAATAAATAAAAATTCTTGTTAAATAGCATTCTAAAGGGAAATTTCGTTTTTAGGGGTTTTCTTGGGCCTGCTCTGATTTGTTTAATTAAATTGTTTTGTCTCTTGCCAGTCACGCTCCGAGAAATTTATGCCATGTATCTACATGGTTAACAAGTCAAGGGAATTTGATTAGGTAACGCAAAAGAATTTTATTTTTGTGCGTCCAACTTCTGTTTGAGTTTCCCCTGGCTTCCTGCCTAAGCCCCGAGCAGCGCCCCGGTTTGTGTTGTAAATTGACAAAGGAAATATTTATTAAAACCGTAATTAAAAATAATATTGTTAAAATCTTGTTACGAGCACTGTGGACGGGAGGGCTTCTGTCCGCTCACAAGGATTTGTGGCCTGGCCAGATAAAATGGAATAGAGGGAAGGGCAGGGGGAGAAGGGGAGACAGAGACAGAGCAAAGCAACAGGACGTCAAGGATTAAAAGACGCTAGCTGGTTGGGCTGCCTTCTGGCCGCAATAACAACATTATCAGCGCACAACAAATTGCCTTTAAAGCGCAGGCAACAAGGACAAGTGCGATGGCGATGAGCGGGCGAAGGACGCCTCTTGTTACCAGGACATGCATGTTCCTTCAACCTCCTCGCTCCTCAACACTCACAAAAAGTTTTCTTTTTATTAGATAGATATTTTTTTTTAATTTAAATTGAATCTCTATAGACTAAAGATCGATTTATTTTGAATCAAAAGTGGTCAAAAGTCGTTTAACTTTCTTACACTTCTTAAATGAAATAAATGCACTTTCCACCCTGGGAATACATAATATTTCTAAAGATGTAAAAACACCATTTAAAAGAAATCATTTAGCAATTCATAATATAAATACATACAAAATATTTCATTTAAGATTAAAAATATAAAGTTAAAAATATTGAATTATATAAAAATTATAGACAAGCATTTTTAAAAAAAATTATCAGCCCAGTTTTTCTTGAGACTATTGAAAGGCGTCAGCCTTGTCAGAAATAAAAGTCTATTCCCAATCATATCTCACTCTTTTATTTCTGTGTATCCGAACACTGGGCTTCATATAAAATGCGCGCTGTGTGTGCGGATCTGGGCAGCGAATGACAAAAAGCGCAAGGCTATTAAATTAAATTAAATGGAATTGACCAAAAACCAAGGACAGCTCTGGGTCCTTGTTGAGAAGTCAGCACCATAAATGTAGCGGCTTATTCGCCGCCCTGATGAAGATGCGGATCATGATGGTAAGGACAGTAGCTGTGAGGGGGTGTAAGCTGCAAAATATGGCTCTTGTTTAGTGGTTCAAAATTGTTTTTCTTTTATTTACGTCTCTCGTTTTTTTCGTGGATTTCTTGGGCAACCCAACCCAGATCCCTCGACTGTTGGTCCCCTCTGCTCTATATATATATATGTATTGACTAGCAGTTGCCGGCTCATAACTTTTGCCTGCTCTCTAGTTTTATGTTCTGCCTGTGCGTTTATATCATCATTAAAATTAATTAGAGTCAAAATGTTAAAAGGATTTCATTGCCAGGCGGACAGACTGCCAGAGCAGTCCGCTGGCTATTATCCACCAAGAGTTACTATCCTTTTACTCAGCTCGCACACACTGTCTGTTCGTCAGTCTTTTCCCATCTCGTATCTGCACTGCGGTTGGCAACTGACTGCTGCCCAGTTCCTATTACTGCACGGAGAATAAAAGCCAGAATTCCGTCTTTAAAACTAAGAAATTAAGTATGTACAGCAATGACAAAACTAAATTATTCAAGATATCAATATGGAACAGATGTATATTAAAGTGAGTTTTACAAAGGAAGAATGAAAATTTGAATTTAAAACTTTTACTCCATTTTATAGCTCGTTTTCTCTTCAACTAGGGAAGCTAAAGGTAGGTTTTCTACTGTAAATTGGTTGTTTACATTTATATACATTCATACATTCATCATCATATAATAATATATTATGTTAGCAAATTTATAATATAATGGTTTAACTTGACTTGCCAGAATCAAATATCTACAGGTGATTTAGAAAGTTTTTTATTAAACTAAAATCAGGAGATAATATCCTTATCTATTACCTGACATCAAAAGTTTCTTTCCGAATATTATGTTTTTCGAAATATTATTCATAAAATATATTTCCACTAACTTCTCTAAGTGATGCAATTACTTTTGTTCTGGTAAAATTTTGTTAAACTTAAATCATTTTGTTTATTAAACACTTGTATGTATGTTGTCCGTTATCCATTTTGAGTCCCTTTTTTCACCGACTAAACCAAGTTAGCCGCAAACATAAGCAGGACACAGGATTCTTATGGCGAAATGGGGGAAAAGCAGCAACTTTTAATTGAAGATTGCTTACTTGCTGCACTTAACTGCCAGCCGGCAGCCACACCGAGAGCATTCCAAAATATATTAAAGTAAAAGATGACATCCAGCGGTTGGTGTGTGGTCTCCAGGACGAAGGATACTGGTCGGAGTGAAATGGCAAGAGGCATTAAGAGCTGAGCCAAGAGCAACATCAAACTGAATGGATGCAGGCGACTTTATGCTCATATTTGCCCGAAAATTCCGAGAGCTCTTTACGCGGCTTTTCTATGCCAAAAAGAGCTTATGCGATACACACAAAGCCTGGCTACACACACACGCACACTCACACACACACACACACAGACAGGGGAGAGCAGAAAATGTCCTTTAGCGACAACTTGTGCCTTGAGTTTGTATAGTTTTATAATTTTTATTTAATTAGTTTTAAAACTTTTTTCCAGTGCGCCATAAATGCACACAAGCGCAGGTTCACCCATACAGCCAGAGACATTCGCACACAGAGGCAAAAGTAAAAGTTGCCAGCTTTTATGAGTTAGTGGAGGTACAGGGAAGCCCTACCCAATTTTAAGCCCCACCAGGACCTTTATCGAGGTGCCACTGCCCACGATTTCCCCTTTCCGTTTCCCTTTTTCCTTTTCCTCTCAGTAAATCTGTGTGTGCGTGCTACTGGTTCTGCCTGCAATTGTGTTGATAATTTGAAAATTCATTTAAAGTTTTTGTATCGCGTTTTTGTTTATAGAATCTAATGAATAATTAACAAAGTTCTTGTGCATTTGAAAAGACGTCAACGGCGACGAAGGCAAAGACTTCCTGGTCGCCTCCAAATGCCAGCCAACTTTTCATTTGCCGCAAATATGGCTGGCAAAGTTTCATGTTTACTTATTATTTACAGACTCTAACGACAGTCAATGGGAAAAAAAACAAGAAAGAATGATGTAGTCGAGTTCAGCGACTTTTAGATACCCCGCTACTCTGTTAAGAATGATATACATTTTTAATATTTGTTGAGTTTAAAATTCCCACTAAGAAACCATTACAAATGTGGGGTCTACAAAATTAATCGATCTAAATGGGACCAACAAAAATACCCTTTTTAATGGTCCAAATTGTGTAGTCGACTCAATAATATATAAACTCTTAAAAACTCGTTAAATTACTTATTTCTTTTTCATTATTTTCACGAATAAAATATCCTCTTTACAAGTAAGGGGAACATAAAAAATACAAATAAGTCTATGCAAAGAATAAATTTATATTTTCCCAAAAAATTCCTATCGGACTAGAAGAAGTTTAAAGTCAATCAAAAATGAAACCCTTAATGATTGAAAGAAATGATAGAAAGCAAAGATAACCATTTTGTTTTTTTTGTTTATATTTTTTTGTTTTTCGTTTTTATGTATAAAATAAAATTATAAGCTTATAAACAAGGATCACTTAAATGTACAAATCTCTAAATTTTACGCTTCATATTGAACGATTTCTTTCATTCCTCGATGTTCTCTATATTTTGTTTACAAAATTTTGTTTCATTTTCTTCGAGCCTAAATTTTCGTGGCAATTTCGATATGTTTTATACTTGTTGAAAACAGAAACATGAAGAGATAGCAACAGATTGACTCAGACGAAACGAGAGAGATTTATAGATTCATAAATTAGAAATACAGTACAGAATTCAACTGAGAAGTAAGAAAATGGCAGGAAAATAGTTTTTGATGTGATTCGAATTTCGATTTGAGGCTGAGTATTATCTCTTTTCTTTTCTTTTCTTTTTTTTTTTGATTTGTGATGTGAGGGGATATTTGGCAGGATGGGAACTGGGAATCTGAGTTGATTGATCTTGTTGTATTGTTGTTGTAGTTGTAGTTGCTGTTGTTTTTAGTTATTGTTGTTAAAGTTGTAGGTTCTTGTTGTAGTTGTTATGTTTATGAGGAGGTGGAGGAGGCAGCTTTGGTTTTTTGCGCGCCCTTAGTGCGACCTTCACTATTCAATCCAGCTAGAAGCTCGCTCTTGCGGATGCTCTTCAAATCCAGATCGCCGTAGTAGTCCTCGCTGTAATTGTAAATGGGACCAAGGTAAAGAGATATGTCAGAACAGGCCAGAGAAAAGGATTCGTGAGATGTGATATGTGATATGTATGTGTATATGTGAGTATAGACAGTGGACGGTGAAAGTTTAGAGGGTGAGGAGTGTGGTGATGGGTGCAGAGTGTTGCAAGCCTGGCAGTGAAACTCCAAATAAAATCTGTATTCTTTTTTTTTTGCTTAAAATAATCGAAGATAATTTATATAAATAAATGAAATCAGATGTTTTTGCACCATTGCATTTTAGTAAAGAAAAGTTTATTTTGTGCTGCATATTTTTAGGCCCTTGTTGAAGCGATTTGATTTCATAGACTTATTTAGGCATGTGTACCTTTGTGGTCTTTTTCGGATATATTTTTTGAAGACATTAAAGAAACATTAGAAAATTGTCTGCATTATATTTTAAAGGGAAAGTGTGCCTACAATTTCAAAGCTCTCATCCCTCAACTAAAGCGAAGAATGTCTAATAATAAGTGGAAAATTAAAATTACTCTAAGTAGAAGCAATACAACCTTTGTAGCCCTATTCAATTTGGTAACGGTTTTTTCTGAGAGTGCAAAGCAAGACAAATCAAAGGGTAGAAATCCAAAATAAATTGCAACTCACCATCCGGGAACATCCTCGGGATCCTCGCAGTTGCCAGTGCCATCACTGTCGCCAATCTTGAACACTGTGCCGATGGGGCAGCCGTATTCGCGGGCCACGCCCTCCAGGCAGATGTAGTACTTGCGGCAGTCCTCGGGGTGGGCGTGGCGCGAGAAGGATCCAGCATTGGCCAGCTCACCGGCTGCCGGGCAGGAGAATCCGTTGGCCACCTCTGAAATCAATCGAATATTAAGTCACCTCATCCACTGCGACTGCGAGATCATGCAACCCACCTTCGTTCTTGCACTCGGGCACCTGATCAGCCCACATGCACACGCGAGCATCGCGATCGTAGGCCAGTCCAGGGGAGCACTGGTATCTGGAGGGCTCGCCGTTCCAGCAGTTCCAGAACACGTCGCACTTGTTCTCATCGGGGAAGATGCCGTACAGGCGGGAGCAGTGGGGGGTGGTGATTGGGGGTTCTGCAGGGAAAGCAAAGATAATATGTAGGTATGTTAATGTACTGTTCTGTCATATGACGGTTTAATATACAAAAAAAGTCAAAGCTTCAAAGCTCGTAACTCTCCAAAAATGTAAAACAACAATTGAACTGGATTTTAAAGCGAAAAGTCATCTAATAACTGATTCATTTTTTAAGTTTATTAAACTCAATTTATCAGCTTACTGATGTTGTTCTACACATCTCCATATCAATTATCTTTTAATATCCTTAAGATTTCGTATTTAAAAGAAAACTTACCCAGCTCTGTGCGATCGCCGCAATCCACGTTGTGCAGATAGTCGCAGTTCTCGGTGAGGTATTTGGAGTCTGTGGCATCGAAGGCCAGACCGTTGCCGCAGGTCTTCAGCTCGGAGACGCCATTGTCGCACTTCCAGTACTTGTCGCAGGACGCATCGTGAGGATAGAATCCAAAGTCATCGGGACACTTAAAGCTACTTTGGGCCACAGCTGTAAAAGGGATTAAAAATAAGATTGAGAATACGAGAAATTGAATTGGATCTAATTAAATAACATGGTCCCACTTGCATCAGTGCGCCAAATCTAGTGTGCTTGCTTGTATGTAAATTTATTGTACAAACTTGTAAATGTATCCCTTAATGTTTCATTTTTAATTTAGCTTGCATCCTTAATTTATTGTTAAGTGATTTTGCAACTCGTTTTGATATATAACCACAGCTAGGGAATACCTTTTTCATTGTTTTGCCGACTTGTGAGTCACAAGTGAACCCAAGAAAGGAATCCAAAGAAACATCATAGACGCAATAAGGAGTCCCAACACGATTGCTCAAGCCAAGCAGATGCAGATACACACGTATCCAAGATGCTTATTATCATTATGACGGCAAAGACGGGCTCGACGATGATGACGCTGGGCATGGCCATTTGTCATCTGGCCCAAAAGGCATTCACTTTAAAAAGTCTGATGTCTGACAGAGAGACGACGGTTGCCAATAAATCTCGAAGGCAACTTTCAGCAGTCGCAGACACACACGGATCGCTGACAGCTCAGGGCCAACTGCATTTACTTTTGTTTCGTGCGATGTTTTTGCCCTCCCTCGTTTTTGGGTATGGAATTACACCGAACCCTGTGACAGAGAGTTGAAGCACCTGAAATGCGCCACCAAGGACTTATCCCCCTCCCCTCTCCATCCCCGTCCGTTGCCATCAGTCGGCGTCTGCTTTTGTGGAAGCTGAGCTCAATGCAACCGCAGGGCGTAACGAACTAAATTGCATTTGTACAACTAACTAATGCGGTATTTGCCGGCACTTTCTATATATTTGGCATGGAAAATCAAATGGCAGCAGTCAAAAAATAATTACCCACGTGCAGTCTGGCATTGAAAAGAATTCCGCTCCCCATGAATGCCCCGTGTGTGTGTGATAATCTAATTGCAAAACCGCAGAGTTGCGGTCACGTTTCATTTCCAATGTTCAATGTTGAATGTTCAATCAAAAGTGCGCATCAATTGCCTAAGCCGTGGGCTAAGTCCGGGGTCGGCCCCCATGTTGGGCGCCAAAAAGGCTGCGGGCAGGACCCACGCTGGGCGCCATTAAAACAGGTGCAAAGCGCTTGGGAAACCGCATGAATGCAACAATTGAAGAAAAACATAGAAAAATCAACTGATTCGGTGGCCTGCATAAACAACATGCAATTTTCATTTTGTGTGTAAACTAATCAAATATCAAATTTTACATATTCGCAGTTGCTGCGCTCACGAAAGAGCCCCGAATAAATCAAAACTGTGGCAGCCATAAAATTATTTGCCGACTTTAATTAAAAACTGTTATTTTTGCTGCGTATTTATTTTAAGCGAATATTGCCATGTCTGTATGGTTGGCTTAGGCAGTCATTTAGCCAGTTCTGATTCGCAAAAAAACATCGATTGTTTATTCGTTTTACGTTTTGCGCTTCGCATTTGTTTATTGTAATTTTGTTAATTACGCAGTTTGATCGGAGCTCTAGCTTGAATTTAATAACGCAGCTGGCACGATTGTTATAATTTTTAAATTCAAGGCAGTTCAATTTATCTCTGCTTGTTATGGGAGTCTTGTGAGATTAGTCTGCGACATCAATTAGCCGGGCATTTCATGGTTCGAGGACGGCCATTGGCGAGCACTTAGCCGGATGGCATTCGCCACTCCAGAATAACTGCAATAACTTTGTTATTAACCTGCAACTGTGCGGAAAGAGTGCAATCTGGCATTGTTGTTGTCTGCAGCAGCCGCAGGCATGGACCGCAGTCCTAATGCCTTCGCACACACACCTGCTCCGGGCGATGATTGTGCACTTACAGCTGTGTGTGCTCCTCGCCACATGTTTTCCAAGCAATTACTGTGGCACCTGGCGCACCATGCGAATGCGTAATATTTTGCCCAGCCTAATGTTGCAGCAAGCAGGCAGCGAAACTACCATACAGAGCTATCCAAATAGTCTTTAAATGTAAAATCAATTAAATTAACTACCTAAGACTTTTGCATAATTCTCCTTAACTAATAAACCTTTAATATCTTAGTGTTGATTAAAAACATAATAAAGTAAACTGTTTATTGTCTTCAGCAAGTTTTTTTTAAGTAAACAAATAATGGACAAACTTCAATCAATGGCGGTTTATTAGAAAAATTTAAGTATTTTTAAAGGCATTTCGCAATAACAAGAGTTTTAAGGCCAACCCAAAATGTGACTCATGTTATGTCGGAATTCGGTTGAAAGCGATATCGTCTAACCACATCACGCGCTACTTTATCCATTATCTAACAAGCGCTGAGATGCTGTTGACATGACATAACAGCTAAATTAGCTTCTAGCGCAGAACCCACCGGGCCGAATGAAAATGAAAGCCAAGAGCCCGGCTAGCCCACATTCTCTTCGAGAACCGGTTCGGCCAGATTCTAGACCAACTACTAACCCACTCTGAAGTCTGGCAATCGGGCTGTCTTTTGTTCTCGACGGTGCCGCCCGGCGCACCTTGGAAATAAATAGTTTGACCGGCATGCCAGTGCAATATGTGTGCACTACATATACTACATATACGGCACAATCTGCAGTGACCACGTGAGCCAGCGAATTATTTATAAGCTAGTTAGACTGATTGCCTGGTGTGGCATGCTATTTAATTTACTGTTCGGCCATAATTGGTTTATCTATCAGCGCGGAGCGCTTAATTACATTTTTTGCTCCTTTGGCGCAAACAATGCGGATGGGTGTCGCTGTTTATGTGCATTTAAATAATACATTTTTATTGACATTTTAACAGTTAAACCGACATTTGTGTCGGTCTTATTGGTTGATTGCACACCATTGGCATTGGCTGACCCCCACTCGCTGTTTATCATTCGTACATCCGCTCGTCCATTAACATAATCATTTAATTAACCAAAAATGTACACAACACTGCTACAAATTACAAACTTTATAAAGCTCGATTTAATGAAATTAATTTATGCGTTACTTAAATGACACACACTGTCAAGATGCAAATGAATTTATAATTTCAAATTAACGAATGAATGCGTTAGCAAAATTGCAAATAGCCCCGTGCGTTTTCAATAATTCATTGTAATTCATACTCTGTAATTAGATGCGAATGATAGGTGTCGATACTGGCTGGAGAAGAGTATCTTTCCCCATGGCCCCTTTATCTCCACTCGCAAGCTATCTTTTGGTGGCCTGGCCGGGAAGATTCTCGTATCATGACAAATGATGACAAATCCCCATTGCATGCCGGCCAACTCAGTTGTCAGCCCATAAATACTAGTATCAGAGCAATGAACCCCGCACTTGGCATGCTAGCAAACAAATTCAGAGGCATTACGAAGGACCCCGGACTCATAATCGCCGCCAGCTCCTGCGGTTGCAATCTCAGGTTGCCTCTTTTTGTGGCACTCGGCGGTACAAGTGTGTTGTGTATCTATCATTTGCTGGGCTGTAACTCCGCCTGGTGTGGTGTTATTTTTATCGTTGTTTGTCTTGTTGTCTGGCAAGACATTGCCGCCGTATAAATCAAGAAAATTGCTGACATTTAAGCACGTTTCGTTGGGGAGCCTTTGGCCCGTTAGGTATTTACCCGGCAACAACAGCACTTGAGCATTTCCGCTAAATGTTGCCGTCTTCCAAAAACAGTTTTTGCATACGGTGCGCCAACAACATCGTAATGATATTTAAATATTTACCCACATTGTTGTCGGCCTGGTCCGTATGTGGGTTAATCTGCGTTTGAATTGTTTTGTCTATTGTTTGTCTATTCCTCGATAGTTGTTCAGTGGGAAGTGTGCAGAAAAAACAATTTCTGATATTATTCGACGACCAATTCGTTGATATTTAACAGAATATATGTAATTATTTTCTTACTGGGTGAATTTAATATTATTTAATTATCTTACATTTTGTTTCTGAAGGAGACATTGCAAAAGTGTAACTTTACTCCATTACAAAATATAGAATTCAAATAATATTGTCTTTCAAATTATAAAGCTAAATTGTTCTGAAAAATATGTGTGAATATTTATTTTATAAACAAAAAAATATTTCTCTTCTTTTGGAATTCATTTCGTATATGAACTACGAAGTCCCTGTGTGCATATGCAATCCCCAACAGTTTTGCCTTGACAGAGCGAGCAATAAATCCATTTAGCCCAAGAAGGCGACTTAGCCGCTATTCATGTATTTACCGCTGAATAGATACGAATTTTTCAAATTTAACGCATCAACGCTGCCGCTTTTGAGAAAAATTGATTTTCAATGCATCGCAGGACCCGCCGAAAGTGGCATGCAAATTGAGTTTTAAAAGCCTTGTATTTCGGCGTTCCTCGTTGTTGGCCATAAATCAGCATAGAAAGCCGGAGCGGGTGTGTGTTGGCCTAATGCAACCTATAGAATTCAGCACACCCAGTTGCATGTCGGCAACGGCCCTTTTCATTTGATTTTGTTGCCACAAAATAAAAACTTTTCAAGCGTGACTGGCTGCCACCGCTGCTGCAGTCTGTGTGGCAATATAAAAATAGCAACATTTATTTTGTTTGTCTTTGGCCACATTCTTTTTTGCAGCTGCGGTTGGTGTTAGTTTTCGATACCGAACCGCAAGAAGGGAAAAATAATCAAGAGTCAAATGCGGAAATTTATTGTGTGCGGCAAATCTTTGCCCCGCTTAAATTGTTTATCGCCGTGATTAGCAGGCTGGTTGTAACTTTTTCGACCCCCACTGAAAGGGAAGTGCTGGCTTTAAGATCGGGCACTCGAGCCGAACAAGTGGGCAATTGAACGGGCAAGTGCCGTTGCATAATTAATGACAACTTGAACTTGACAGTGCACGGCGGCTTTTAATCAAAATGGGCCCATTAAAGCCTTTATGTTTCGGCCCGTTGTTAAGTTTAATAACTTGGAAATTGCTGGTAATTAAAATTGAGCAGCGAAATAGCTTTTTACGGCCATGCACGACTTGGCAGAAAAATGCATGGCACGCAATTCGCAAACATTTTTAGGTTGAATAACCAAAAAGCGAACGGGTTTGGATATGAATGATTTGGGAGCGGCTTTGACAGTTGCGTAGTTAAAATCCCCGAGCCTAGCCCAGTTGTATGTCATCAATTAGGCATCTTTCCAGGCAGCTATCTAAAGAGCTTTTCAATGTCAATGTCAGAATTGGCGAGTCTCGTCTTAATAGCTCCCGACCACACCTTGCGATATACGAAATTAAAGCCACAAATCCGAAGCAAGACTTGGTGCTGATTATCTAATGCAGCCCGAATCTAAATATCGCTTACAACACCAAGAGCGATTTCGCAATCGAGTTGCAGCGGAGCCAGACGATCGGCGCTGTTGTAACCTCTCCCAGCTTTTAAGGCGGCTTCGATGAGGTAATGAAATGGAACCAATAGATGCAGAGATACAGATACTGTGCATCGTAACTATATCTCCGCATCTGCGTGGAAACTTCAAGCTGGGCTGGGACTTGCTCAATTACATTTCCCTCTGGTTGGTCTCGCTTTTCGACTCGATTTCGTTTTCGCTATCCTATTTGCCATTCGCTATTCGCTTTTCGATTTCGTTTTCGATCGCTGGTAAAAGTGGAGCAGTGATAGTTGATTTACCCGTCGTTGCACAAGCACACTCTCGATTTTTGCACACTGATTTTCAGCACTCAAGTGTCCTTCATGTTGCGCAAGCGGAAAAGCATTTTCCACTCGCCACTCCTCTTTCGCTCAGTTATTTTCATTTCACTTAGCTAGCTAAAGATACATACCGGCTCCGAATAATGCCACAAACACCACGAAAAACTTCTTCATATTGCGAGTAGTTGTATATATTTTTTAGTGAGTTGAAACCGACGGAACCGCACTTGAAAAAACTGAAAACTCTGCTGAAACTGACTGCGCACCGACGACTTGAAATGTGTGTGGTTTCTGGTGGAGCGGTAGCTTTTTATACCGCTGCGCATGCGCGACGTCGCGAACAATCCAGACGGCGGCGTCGACGCAGGCGGCGGCAGAGGCGGCGGCAGCGGCAGCGGCAGTGGTGGCGGCAGAGGCATTGCAACGGTATTCGTAGCAGCCAGCTTTTCGCTCGCTACTTGGCCGCCTCTCTCTTTCACTCTCTCTGGCCTTTTTCCACCTTAACTTACCTGTTTTGTATGCAGGCAGCGACGCCGACTCCTCTGCCGCAGTCGCTGTCAACGTCGACGCCGGCGTCTATTGTTGTGGCCCAAACCATTTGTCAATTGATCTTTTTTTACTTTATACCCCGGCTGCCTGCGCTTTGCATTTTTTCCTTTTCTTTATTATTTTTTATGTTTTTTTAAGGTGGGGGTTGCAAATGGAATTTTTGCCTGAAAAAGTTCAGAGCATTGTACATTGTGTGTGTGAGTGTGGGCAACTAGCATTCAATTTGTATCTGCAACTAATCACGGCTGAGGGCACGGCATCTTGCAATCCGAAAGATAGTTATATTCATGGCTGAACTTCACCTTTTCTGCGGATGAGTCATGCGAGCTGTGTTTCTTACTCCGGCATTTATTTATCTATAAGTCATTTTTTTCTAGCTGAGAGCGCTGCTTAAGCTTCCTGAAGATAATATGATAATTAAAATCATTGTTGAACTTTACCATTTTAAAGTGAGAGTCATACAATGAAATTATTTTATGTAATTTATTTATATTTATATATACAAAACTGTCCAATTTGTTCTATATCCTGTCGTCAAATACATTTTCTTAGTTAAATAGAAAATAATGTAAAAAAAACTGTAAATTTATATATATTTACAAGTATATTCATTCTAACCCACAGCTTTTATTTATTTCGCTTTAAAAAATATGTTAACGAAGTTAAATTTTCAATATACATATTAATATGTTTCTGTTTTTACTATTTATTAAAAGAAGATCATAAATTTTATCTGTTTTCAACATGATACAACAAATTTCTGTTATGCCTACATTGCTAATAAACAAATTTCGTATACGCCGCGTCGGCTGCTGCAAGCGAAACTCATAGCTTAAATTTAATCAACTCCATTAGCATGATTTCCTAATGCGATGGTCAACCGGTGGCCGGCAATGCAATTCGAATTATGCATCGATCTCCCGCTCTCCCATGAAGTAAATAAAAATAAACAAACGTCGAGAGCCATTTAGCCCATAGTCACTCAACAAGCTGGCATTTAAAACAGGCCGTCATCTCGAATGCAGTGCGTGCCAGTAAAAGGTAGGCCAGCCAGTTGTTGTGGCTGCCATTTGTTCGTTGTTGCTTTAGTTGCAGCAGCGGCTATTAAAACTGACCCAGCTCGGCGGTCAACGGCAGCCACTCAGCGGCGCCTTCGAGTGGCAAGAAGCAAAAATCACAAAAAAATGTGTGCAATTAAATGCAAGAAATGTGATTCAAGGTTTCGGAATGCAGGAAGAATATGAAATTACAGTCAGCGACTGCTGCAGAAAAATTACAGCTGACGATGATGGCAAATCGATCAGAGAGCACTGAGAAAAAAAGGTGCAAGGGATAAGGTATGCTAAAAGAAAATATATACCATAAATAAAAAAAATAAAATAAGGATATACAAAGATTTCATATTGTTAAGAAGTTATTTCAAGAATTTGTTATTCTTATTTTCAGCTAAGCTATCGCTTAAAATATTTTATAATCATATCTACTACAAGTGCTTTATAATTGAAATTCATATTCATAATTTAACTTAAGCCTGGTTAATCTTCTCCAGAACATTCGTTGATATACCTTGCCTAAAAACGTGCAGGCTACCGAGTGGCTTTCATGACTTATGGCGGTCTTCCAATAAATGAGGCATCAAATCAGATAATAAATCTTAATAAAAGTGTAAAAATTAATTTTGGTTAATAACGCAGAATTGTTTCTGTGACTTGTACAGCGGAAATTATTAAGCTCAAACGATCTTTAAAGAATGTCAAGCTCTGGAGAACATCAATAAAAAATTGATTAAACGTGAAAGTCTGCTTCCTTTTGCTAATTAAACAAGTTATGGAGAATTCAAGTTTAGATAAGTTCGATTTGAAGAAATTTAGCCATGCTTGTTACTAGCTAAAATTGAATATTTGTTTGAGGCTGTTTAAAGATTTCTTCCTGTGTTTGGCTCTAGTTCAGTTGAGTTCGGCTGAGTCGAGTTGGCTGGGCCTGGGTGTTATTGAAGTGGAGGCTAGAAGACTTGCGACTGGCTGGCTGCCTACATGTCCAGACAGCGAACCAGTTTCAGAAGTGCAAAAGCAACGGCAGTAGCAGCAGCCACAACAACTACTGGATTAACTGCAGCAAAAACAACCGAGCCACCTTGTCAGCTATGCTTTCGCTTTCAATAGCAGTTTGCCACCACCGCCGGAATAGTTACTCATAGCCCAGTTAGCCATTTGTTGCTTTTGTTTCAGGAGCCGGAGCCTAGATTTTTCGGGTTCTCTTAGGGTTCAGAAACTAGTTTGCCACGCAGCTGTATTCGTGCATTTTTTGCTTCTTTCCTACTTTTGCAACAGGGCGTAGCCATCCAATTGAATGCCAAATTGTGCCAGAGCCGTTTGAAATTCTTCTGTCTACTGTCCAGTTAAAACTATCATAGTAATTTGCGAGCGCAAAATTAAAAAAATATTTGAAAAATGCAAAAATTGCATCAGATGCAGGCGGGAGATTGTGAGCGGTTTTAATTGTTGATTTTAGCAGGCCATTTGTGGGTGGGTGCGGTTGCAGTCTAAAGTCTGCACGTCGCCATCGCCATCGCATGTGCAACGCGGAAGAAAAGTTGTTTGGCCTGAACCACACACTCCCTTTCCCCTTTTCCCCTCCCCCCACACGTGGTAAGTGCAAGCCATTTGTATCTCACAGATACTCAAGCTCACAGATACTCACCGGCTGAGTGATTGTGAGTGAGCTGCGATCGGTGGATTATTTTTAGTCCGGCTTATTTGGCTAAGCGGGTTCTTGGGTATTTGGCAAGTGCATTTGTGAAACGGTAATTTGTCGTCGAGTCGCGTTCGTGACTGGAATCTTTCGAACCACGCACAACCCGTTAGAACGGTTTCCATTTAATTACGCCTATTTGAATATACCCCTGTAATGCTACTTCATTGAAATCCAACTCGGTTCGACCCAATTCGGTGGGTGTGGTGGAAAGTTAGGCCGTTAATTGCATTGGGAGGCTAGGTGTCACTGCGATATCACCTGCGAAGGTGGAGTGAATATATAATATCAATAGAGCTGCCTAAGGTTACATGCAAATGCCCGAGATTCTAGGTCAGAGCCAAGGTCCGGATAAGGCCAGGGAAAATATATAGATCAGTGGAATAAATAACTCATAATACTAATAACTCAAGTCCAATTCATTAACTTTTGCTAAAAATGCTAAAAACATATATAAAACGCCCGACTTCATAGTAAAGCTTAACAAGTGCTTATTGAATCTTAATTCCATCGTATAGGCACCCCACGCTTATAAGAATTTGATGAATTGAATAACACATTTTGTGTTTATTTCCGATTTAATTTTATTGAAAAAGGGAGAGATTACACAAGCATTAAATTTATTTATATATTTTTTTAAGATCCACGAATCTTATTTGAAGCATCATGATTAGAACACACAGTTTGATTACAAATATATTGAATCGTAAAATGGATTCATAGTTATCATATGTATATGATCAATATTTTCTTACTTTTAATTTTTTAATTAATAAATTTAAGTAAATTTAAAATTACAAAAATTGTACAGTTTTAAAATGTCATAATTAAGTTCGTGTTTGTTGAAAAAGGCATTGAACATGCCACCAATTACTTTAGGTAAACGCTATGTCATCAGGTTTAAGCAGTGTTAATTGGTGACCTCTACTCTGGACCCATGAAAAACACTGACCATCCTGACCATAATCTATGATTTTAACAACAAGATAATTATTTGACAAGCGTTAGCGCAGCTCCGCAGGCTGGACAATTGTCTCGAGTGTTTGCTCACCTTGTCTTCCGTTAATTTTTATGTCACTAACTTTATGGCGGCTAATGTCAGTAGTTTTACATAAGCCAATTTCATTGGCCAACCCCGCGGGTCCGGCTGGATGGGGCCTGAAAGCCGCGGGTCAGTGGAAAACTGCAGCTGGAATTGCAGCGGCCAAGCGTTTTATCCGAACGTAACGCCATGATTTCAATATATTGAACAATAGCATTTCTTATTTCTCATTTCACAGCTTACAGTTTTCGTTTATTAACTAATTTCGGATTTATGTAATCCCAAGTGGCAGGCCTCGGTCTCGACCGATTACACGCAACCACAGGCCGAGGTCAATGATCAGTGAAATTCACTTTCAAAATCTGTTGAAAAGTGCTTACTTCCAAAGCTAGTGTTTCTCCCAGGGCGGAAGCCCGACATATTGCTGCGGAGATTAATGTGTAAGATCGAAAACTGAAGTTGAGCGGAGGAGCTTTTAGGGTGTTCCGAAATTGGGCACAGCCACCGCCCAAAAGCCAAAAACCCATCAACCCATCATCATCATCATCATCACCATTGGCAGCACACACCTTCATTAGACGGGCTGCATTTTACCACACTTGAAATCGCAACACAATGAATAAATCTGCATAACTAATTCCCACCTAAGATACCGAGTTAATGAGCTGGGTGTTTTGCACCGAATTGAAGGCAACAAACACGCACAGGTTGTTGACTTCTTCAATGTTTCGCCAGCTCACTTTCGATTTTGGTACGGATTTCGGTCCAGCTTGGATACCCATAAAATCCACATGCCGCCTAGATGTATTTTTAATTATGGTCATTTCACGTGGCACCCCTCGAAAATCCGAAACCCTAAGTAACCGAAATGTTGAAAAGCAGAAGCAACCCCGTTAACGTTAAGTAGAGCTTTGATTTGCATGCGAAATGTGCCGAAAATTGCACAACCCTGATGTATTTTTAATTATATTTGCCAGGCCCAATTTGTAAATGTCATTAAACACAGCTGGCCTGCATTTAGTGGCAAGTTCAGTTCGCAACGAAGCCAAGGACAAGCCCATTGTTATCGCCCCGGACATCTCCCAGCTTTTATCAAAAGGCCGGTTAATGTATTGAACACGTATCGAATCGGATCGAATTCGATTTTCGTTTTAGTTTCAGTTTCAGTTTGAGTTTCAGTTTCAGTTTCGGTTTCTTTCTCACCATAAAACACTGTTGCCAAAAAAGAAGACAACGCAAAACGAATGAACGCACCCTGGCAGAAACTGGGTTATAACCTTGAAATCTCGCACACAAAAGAAACGCTTATAAATTCCAGCCTCTCAATAAATTCGGCAGACTTCGGAGGGGGAAGAAAGCGAATTAATGCGACAGGTCGCAGCCCTGCCAAAAAAATTTATTCAAATCAATGCTGAGCTGAGCTCAATGGAAATGCTAAACACTTGGAAACACTGGCTCGGGATCGTTTTGAAATCGCACACCGAGTGTTGCCAAAGTTGCAGGCGGCTGCATCTGCATTTCAAATTGCCAAAGGTCAGGCCCCACTGGATCGCATCTTCAACTTTTCCACCGGACAGTCCAGTTTTCTGCCGCCGGTGGTGCTGATTTCTGTACTATGGCCCGGTGGTGCGGTGCTGCTGCCGTGTCGTCATCGTTGTCATCACGGTTGCCCCACCGAAAGCCGTTTGGCAACCACTGGCGGCGGGGAAAAAAACAATTAACTGTATAACGAAAATTTGTTCAAATTGTGACTGTGCGAGAGTGAAAGAAGAGAGGAAATCGAAAACTGGATTTATCATTTTTACGGCCAAACACGCAAGAAAACAAGCCAAGGTCATTGCGAAGAAATTGTGAGGGAAACTTCCACAGCAACAAATTATACTTGTATTTCTTTATTCAAGTAATCATATTAAAATATTAATTCTGCTGTAAGTAAATAAAGTCAGTTGGCGAGCATCGATTAAACAACCGAATTTCGATTTTCATTCTAAAATTGTCAGCATAGAAGAAATCGGTCTAAACATTATGGAAATATTTCAAAAAAATCCATATGTTAGGTAATATTGTAATAAACTTTGGCTTTAATAAACTTGAATGGAAGATATGTTGATATTTTTGAACAAAAATGCGTAGTTTGAATAAGGTAAATCTAGTCAGGCTATAAAATAAATAATAAATATATGTCCTAGACCATTAGTAGTTAAGAAATTAAACAAAAACTCAAGTTAAAAGGTAAATTTTTATATATTTAAGAATGTACTTCTAAAAATCTCAGTCATTAAATAAATGAGTTAGTATGTATATTACATATTTTTACATTATTCCCGCCTCTAAGTCTTTTTTTCTGTGTCTTGGATTCGTGGAAGTGGAAGCAGTTGTTTTTGTTGACTGTTTGCCGATCTGGCAGAACCACTTTGGAGTTATTTGCTGTTTTGCCCACTTGCAATTGCGTCGATGAAGATCTCTTCATCGGACTGGGATGATGCGACGTGTTTTGTTAAACATTTTTTGTTTTGCTCACTGGCAAAGCCCGATACCCAAAACCCGAATCCGGTTGCTCAAAAATGCGTAAAGTGGGACGATGTCGCTCCTTTACAAGCCGGCCGCACAGAAAAGACATTATTAAAAGCCCGACAAGTGGCCGGGCAAAATGCCAAAACAAAAACACCAAATCAATTAACGGCATTCAATAGCATCACAGTTCCAGTGACTGTTTTTGTGGCCCCGTTGTCAGGTGTTGATCAATAAAAATGCAACTGGGCAGCTGGCCCATCGATCGCCACCAGTCTGCGATCCACGGATCGTTGCGTAACCGCCGCTGAGATTCTTTGCGCAATCGAGCCCGAAAACTTGACCCAGGCACTTTGATTAGGGCCTTCTTATCAGCTGCTCATTGGGAAGCTTTGGTTTGAACTTGAGGTAGTCGTAAAATGGGGTTATCTATTTTCAGGGCGAGAGAGGAACCCACTGAAAAGAAAACACTTCTTCAATCGCAAAACATTTGAGATTGAATAAAAAGAAAATTCCAATCGGCAGTTTAGAAAGCTTAATTTAAAAGAAAATATATTTCATAGCATAACATGCTTAGTTCTTTTAAATACTTAATCAATATTTAACAAATTCATACGCTTAGGAATACTTTTTATGTAAGTAAAGGCATTGACTGAATATAGTATTAGCCTTTCCTTTTCAGCAAATAAGGCGGAAAGACAATTACTGATTGTTCAACCAAGCATAGCTAAGGCTGGGAAAGTAATTATATCATAACTATTATAAAGCTTAAGCCTTTATACCAAAAAAGTTTGATCAAACAGTTAATAATAAGATAATAATTTAAATAATATTTATTATTCAATATAAAACCTTTTGTTCTTGTTTTCTCTACTTTTGATTCGAATTTTCTTTGAGTGTAAAATACCTATTGGCAGCGAGTTGGTTTTAATTATTTTCGCCTGAGCTTCAGTATTTAATCTAACATAGAACGTGTAAGAAACTACTACAAAAATTAAGAAATCATGCAAAGGCGAAGTGGATTATTTGTAGCCATATGCCTATGGATTTCTGTGGTGAGAAGAGTCTGTAAATGAAGGGTTGAAATTGTTAAATAATATAATTTATTTTTAAGAATGGAAGTCTGGCATACCTGCAGCACGAGGGCGAGGCCATCAACAAGTGCCTTAAGAACTATGGTGGACTAACTCCGGAGAACAACGAGCGACTCGGACGCTTCAAGGAATGGTCAGAGAACTACGAGGAAATACCCTGTTTCACGCGGTGCTACCTAAGTGACATGTTCGACTTGTACAACAACCAGACGGGTTTCGACAAGGCCAAAGTTGAGGATGCCTTTGGTAGCCCCGTCTACGAAGCCTGCCGCCGGAAATTGGAGCTGGATTGGGGTTCCAGCCAGAGTAGCTGCCAACATGCCTACCAGGGCTTCCACTGCATCGCCAACGTGAGTAGACGGCGATAAGCCGAGTTCAGACACCTTATAAATTGTTCTAAAACATCTCAAGATTGCCAAAGTCACTTTTTATATTCTATATTCAAGAAATATATTTTAATTTTTGAATTTTAAATATAATAACGGAGAGTTTAAAATAATATGCTAAAAGGAAAGAGTTTAAAATAATAAACTAAAGCCAAAAATATTTTTCAAGGAATTTGTAAATACAACAATTAAAAGGCAATTAAAGTTATTAAATTATTGAATTATTAAAAAGACTATATTAAAATTAAATTTTAAACCAATTTTAGAACAATTTAGCAATAGTTGTCAAAGAGTTTACCAAGATAACTTAATTTCAATGGAAAGGTTAAAATATTTAAATATTAAATTACATTTATGATGATACATGATAAATGTATGTAAACTAAGCACCAAAATATTTTTGAAAAAATTTGTAAATGCAACAATTAAAAGGCAATTAAAGGTATTAAATTAATGAATTATCAGGAAGTCTATTTTAAAATTATTTTTTAATCCAATTTTAGAACAATTCAGCAATATTTTTTAAAGAGTTTACCAAGAAAACTTCATTTCAATGGCACTGATTATTCGCAGATGGATGGTCATCCGTTCACGGTGATCGACAGCATGGCGAACGTGACCCTGACGGCCAAGAATGCGATGAAGGAGTGCCTCCAGGATGTGCATCGGAACGATTGGAGTCGGTTCGCGGCCTACGCCAACTATCCCGTGAACGAACCCATTCCCTGCTTCTCGCACTGTTTCCTTAGCAAACTGCATATCTTCGACGAGAGGACGCGGCGCTGGCAACTGAGAACCATGAAGCAACAGCTGGGCGTTCCGGCCAAGGGAGCTCGCATTTCGGGCTGCCACCGCCAAAGTGGCAAGGACCGATGTGCCACCTACTACAAACAGTTCACCTGCTACGCCATGGCCGTCTAAGGGACTTGCCTCCTCCAAAAAAGGTTTTCAATTTAAAAACGTAATTTCAGAAAGATTAAATATATATCCAAGGTTGCTTAAATAATTTTAATTAACATTTAGTAATTCGGTCATTTGAAAAACATGTCCCAAAACTATTCGTTCGAATAAAAATCCTGCTCGCTTTTAAAATAATTTTTGGTACGAGAAAAGGTTTTTTTTGTGGGAGTAATACCATTTAGGTCTCAAGATTTCTCCTTCGTCAGATAATTTCCATTTATTCGCTCCCAGCACAAGTACTCCTGGTACATCCACGAGCACTTGTTGCCTGCCTCCTGCCGCTCTTTCTCACTTAGGCGGCAGCTACTGTAGTTCGCAGCGACAGACGGCTCCTCATTTTCGGCAGGACCAAAAGCCTGCTGCCAATTGACCAGCCTCCAGTTGCCAGCGGAGTCGTAGAAGCCCATGGCATCGGCGAAGCACTGGAACAGGCACGGAATGTGTTCCTTGGCCATCAGCCTACTGTACTGCATCAGCTGCACGTTGGTGGCGTTCATCTGGCGGGAACACTGTAGCAGGGTGCTCAAGGTGGTGCCGGCATACATCTCGGCCTGCTTCAGACACCTGAGTCCGCGGTATGCGAAACTGCAGCCATCGGTCGTGGTCCGCCGCAGCTCGAACCTGCAGTAGTTGTACATATCGGCGCCTAGTTCGTCGGTCAGGCGCTGGAGCCTCCACTTGTTGGCCTCCGGGTCGAACCAGCCCTTTTCCCTGGCCAGGCACCGCAGCAGGCAGGGCAGCTCCTCATGCGTCCACGACGCATACCGCTCCAGCTTCTGCAGGTCGCCGGCGATGTTCTCGGGCGAGCTCAGCTCCCGCAGGCACTTCTCCAGCGTCTGGGCATCACCATACAGATCAGCTAGAACCTATAAAAAGTATGTATGCTCGAGTTATAAATACACAACGGAGACGGAGGTTTTGGATTTCCCAAAAATATTTAATGTTAATATTATTAAAATTTTGTTGTTTAATATTTTAGTTTCAATTCCTAGACCTATTTCTATTACCCTCATATAACAGACACATTCCAAATAATAATATAAACAAATTTGTTATTATACAGAAAACTTAAGTGTTTGTTATTTGTATTTTGTATGGTACTTTTAATAAGATTTTTCTTATTCGCCACACCTGGCTGCTGATCAGGAAAAGGCCAAGTAAAATCGTCCATGGGGAACTCATCTCTCTGCGGGCAATGCACAAACTGAACTAGCTACGAAAACATCCGCCCGGCGGAGTGAACGATCAGCTGCCGGCGATGCAGTGGAGGTGCGGAGGTTATCAGCGAGTCGAGATTACGCCGGCGGGTTCAACGAATGCCAGTTCATCCGCCGGAGAGTGGATGTGGATGTGGATGTGGATGCACAGAATAAAATCTTTAGCGCGTGGCCCGATCGCCTTGGTCTAGGTCAGTTCTACTCGCACTGAGCTCAGTCTATTTTCTTACAATGTAGTCCGAGTTCGATTTTAGAAAGCTGAATAAGCATGGGAAAATTGTTATAAACAACGCATTTAAAGCTGGGAAGGTTATGAAACCTTGTTTGCTATGCATTTAGTAAAAATGTTGACTCGTTTTCTGGTGCAAAGCAAATAGGTTAGCACAAACAGTTTTAGTTCTAAATAAAATTAAATTAATTAATAACAAGTACGGGTCTAAAATGAAAAGGTAAATTTTAATTTTTGGTTTGATATCATCTAAATGTTGTATATAAATGATTAAAAGTTGTTGATTTTTTTTGTATTCCGGATTTCTAATATCCGTTTCTGCGGATATTACTAAGCCCAGCTAAAAAAAACCTAAAAAAGCTAAACACATAATTTTAAACAAAATTATCTTAAACAAAGTATAGATTGATTTTTATGCGTATATGTTTAAAAAAAACTAAAAGCTAAGTCGATTTCTATATATATTAGCGATTAAAGGTGTATGTAAAGATTGAGTAGAGGCGGCTAGCTAAATAGGTTAATAAGTGATAACTATATTTATCAACTTAAAGAAGGTGAAAGATACAACAAAAATACCAAAAACTTAATCATGTGAGTTTATATTTTTACAGAAAAACTCAAATTTATTTTCAAATATAGCAGCGAAAACTCTCTTATTGCCACGCATTTAACAAATTGGTTTTTCTCAAAAATCTTTTTTTTCCAAAATAGCGCATTCACAAAAGTGTGTGTCACTGAAGCTACTTAAAATTAACTTTTTAAGTTTTAATTTTTTTTATTTTAAAAGCGTTTTGCATGCCAGGTTTGATGTTGGTCCAAAGTCTTGATAGACTCCTGTAAAATTGGTCATTAATAATATAAATCTAAAAGATGTATGAAGAACTGAATGAACGTTTCGTTAACTTAAATAAAATAAAAAAAGTCGGAAAACTAAAATGGTTTATTTATACAATATTCTCTGGGGTGTACAGTAAAGGGGGACTTTATCACATAGCATTTAGGCGAAGACCTTGCGCACCACGTGGCGGTTGATGGGCAGCCAGCAGGAGAAGACGCGGTTGGCCCAGGTGCAGACGTCCGACTCGGCCTCGTTGTGGTCGATGCACTTCTCCAGGCCGTGCTGCACCGTGGACAGGTCCTTGCTGCTCTTGGACGTGAACTGCGAGATCATGGCCTTCTCGTCGAATCCCTTCTTCTCCGAGAAGAGCTCCAGCTTTTCCAGGAAGCACTTGACGAAGCAGCTGGTGCGCCGGTGGGCGGGGAACTCGTAGTCCAAGTACTTCTCGTAGATGTCGTCGGGCACGTAGAAGTCCTCGCGGCACTCCTCGAAGGCCTTCTCGGCATCTTCGTGGTTCTTCAGCTGGAACTTGGCCGCCGTCTGCAAAGGAAGGTGTGGGTAAGGAGTCGCCTCCATCAGCAAGGGCAACCACTGGGCACTGACCTGGGCCACGAGCAACGTGGCGACGGCTGCGATCAGGAGGAGCGAGTGGGACTGCATTTCTGGCTCGGACGAGGGCTCAAGTGCGAATGTGCTAACGGGTTAAGCGACTAAGTCGCGCCAAGATTTTCCATTATCTTTATATGCTCTCGCTCGATGGCCCACACGAATTTCTCGGGTCGGACCAGATTGTGGATCGGAGTACAGTACAGTAAGGACTGGGTAACATGGAACGTAAGGTAAGTCTTGATAAGTTTTTATTAATACTAAATAAGTTGAAAACATTGCTAGTTGTTATCAAATATATACAAATATAATTTATATATATAAATAACTGTTTTAAAATATTTATTTCTTTTAAGTTTTCATAAATTGACTTACAAATTAATCTTTACATTTACTAACAGTAGTATTTTGCTTAAATAATTTACTATATAAAATGTTTATTCTTGTTGTCAAATTACATCTCACATGTTGTACATTTTTTAAAAAAATATTTGCTTGAACTTTAATAATAATAATCTTAACTGGGGAAAAAATGTCATTACCAAAAAAAATGTCTTAATTTTAAAGACTTAAAAAACTATAAATTAAAAGCTATAAGTTAAAAGAATATTTTCTCCAAAACCAAAAGCACTACATAAACACTCATTGCTAAGTGAGCTATTTTCTAAACTCGAGAACTGGAAAATATTATTCAAACGATCTTTCTAGAATGATTTTTCGCCAGTCGTCGTACCCGAAGTCCACTGTGCTAACACGCCAAACCCGTTGTTGAGTGGCTCGCTCCTATCGGTGGTGCGGCGGTGCCGCTTGGTGGTTGGCTCTTGTGGTGTGGATGGTGGTGTGGCACCCTTGCGTCAGTTTGCTCTTAAAAAACGAAGAAAACAGATCGGCGGAGCTAAGTGAAGCAGTCGCAGCGGTGGCGGAGTGAAACTGGCGAACTGCAAAACTGGTTTATCCCAGGCCGAAGTCGAAGTCGAAGTCGACGTCGCTGTCAACAGCTTTGCTGTTGGGCTGAGCTGGGACCTGGACGGTTATATAATCGGCAGCGGTGTGGCTGTATAATGGTTACGTTTTGCTTAAGCCAATTAAACGATTTGTTTTCGTTCCACAAATTCACTTGGTCTGTGCCACACATTTGTGTGGCTCTGAAAAATGTGTTTGGGTTTGTTGTTTGGTTCGCTTTGCCTTTTTTGCGCTGCACCAAATTCTAACACCTCGATGTCAGCTTGCTGCAAACTTCCGCATCGCGGACAAATTTTTTTCACACATTTATTGCTCACCTGCCACATACACGAGTGCCGGACTGAAAAATAAAAAACACTTTGTTTGTTTACTGCTTTTTTGTGTCACGCGCCGGCAGCTCCCGAAAATAAATTAAATAAATTATTCAATTGAATTTATTTATTACCGACCAATTTGGCCTCTCAACAGACTTTTGCATTTGTGTAATTAACGGCAGTTCCTGGAATATTGTGGAATATTGCCCAGATTGTAAAGGGCCTTTTGGCCAGGTCGCAATATTGTGAGCCGGTTCCATCTGCCCACTCACCCAAACATCCTGCCCATCGTGGCCCTCAAGCGACGTCCATTTTGTTTGGCTTTTACTTTCGCGGCATGTCAAAGACATTGTTGTGGGCTCTTGAACCCGTCCAGGAGGGAAACGCTGGCCAAAATGCTGCAGTCGAAAAAATACTAAAATTAATATCGAACAACCTTGAATATAACCTTAATTTAGTTTTCAGCTAATATTTCCTTACTTACGAGCACGTATCTAATTTCGGTTTAGTTCCAAACGTTATTACTAACAAGCTAGAATTAATTATTCTATTTTATATTACTAATTTTATATGATCGTCCTATTTTGGTAAGTATAAAAATTACTTGCTAAATCGGAAAAGTTTAGCAAACCAAATTATTTATAATTTAAATAAACTGAGTTGGCTGTCAAAATTTTGATGGATGCAATATAGGCTTGTGGTCTTAAATTACCTCAGGATTATTAAAATAAAATAAACAAAATACTATATGTTGAACAAGCTACAAGGTTTTTTTTTCAGTGCTACCTGCGTGTTTGCTGAAACAAAAGTAAAGGGTCCCTTAGGGCTCAACCTTGGCCTACGTGTTCACTTGAGATTATCGCAAGTGAAAACTGATATTCCCAATATGTGAAATTTGGTCAAATAATTGGCCATAAACCAGTCATAGCCTGGAGATGACTGCACAGAAATGAAATCAAAAAATTGAACCTTGATTATATTAATATGTATATAAATACAAATTTTAATTAACATTTAGTGATATAAAGTTGACTAAGTTGTGTACACGAATCGGTAAATTAAATGATGCATTTAACGCCAGTTGCTACCATCGAAATTGACCGGAAGCCAGAACTAGTCTTCCTCTGGGAAATAAAAAAAAAAGAAAACGGAAATGTTTGTGCAGCGCAAAAATTTAAAATAAATATTTGATTTTTTGGAAACGTCGACACACGGCAGTTATATGGGGCCTGCCATTCCCAGTCGACGGTTTTCCCCACGTCTAACGTGAATGCCATTTTCTCGGTTGCCATTCGTTTTAACTTTTGCTGCCATAAATTGCACCAAAGTGCAGCTGCCCCGCCGGCATGTATTTATTTAAAAGTGCTAAAATATTTGCAAAACGCTTCACAATTGCATTTCGCCCTGGACCGATCACCATTCCAACCGAGTCCTTTTTTTCACCACCTGCCGAGGGCGTGGAATTTTTCGCTGGCCGGCAAAAAAATATTGAATATAAACCAATCGCCTAAATCCATTCAATAATTGCGTTAATATGCAGTCGAGAAAAAATGCCAACAATATTTAATTAAATACCAGTCAGGGCATAATTTATTTTTGCGATCGAATGCTGAAAAAACGGCCAACCACATGAGCTGGCCAGTTCGGTAATGGAAACCGACTACTAAACAGAGCCTACTGGAAAAAACCGGGCAAACAAAATCAGAGCTGCGGTGTGTTTTGTGTGTAGGATTTACGCAGATTATAATTAGGTCAGTTCCTGATTGAATTCGGGCCATTCGATCGCAAAATGGGAAGTGCGTCCTTTGGCTTTAAAGCATTCAGGATCTACGCCTCGCTGACCAGCGAGTAAACATCGTAGAATTTTATTATTGTTATCCCAGGGTGTCCTCGAGAACACAAACAACTTCCAGCTCAATTAAAAAACAGACACAAAAACAACAGAGCAACGAAAACAAATGCCAAAAAGTTACCAGCAAAAAGCGCACGATGCTTTGAGTGTTTTTGTGTTTTTCTCTGGCAGAGAACAACCTACAAACAAATGTAAATTCAATTGCCGACCCTGTGCATGCGGCAGGCTGTGCGCCACAGGATATCCGGCTAGCAGCCATTTTTAGGCATATCGCATGCCTTGACCGCCCAGCAAACTAAACAATAAAATTTCATGGCCTTTGGCCCGAAGTGCAGCAGAAAGAACAACACTTGCAAGCCAATACGTTCCTTCGATAACCGGGAGGGGTTCCAATTCTTGCGCCCGAGGCACACAGCCAATGTCCATAAATCACAAATTGAGCTGCGGTGTCCACTCACTTTGGGCCCGGTTGCCGCCCAGTCTGTGGCTCGTATATTATGAGCTCATATTAAAACATTTTACACACAATTTCGCCTGCAGTCGCCTGGCAAGCAGTGGCAGCCTCCACTCCGGGCATGAATTATTATGCACCTAGGCGTATACGCAATGTTTAATTTTCAACTCGAGCAAGGCGCTCTCTGCTCACATAAATTCCTAGGGCGGCCGACAAACGACTTGTTCAATTTCTCCCCACATACATACATATATAAATTCCCATCCTGAGCTTGTCCCCTCACGAACAAGACACGGAAGCAGCCAGGGTGCACTGAGAGAAAAAATGTGTGAGAATTAAAACATATCTCTTTTTACTTGATGTTCATGTTTCTTATTTTTTTTGCTATTAGGTTTAAATCTATGTTAATTTTTTATTTGTTTTTGACTTATTATTATATACTACCACATTAAATATTTGTTTTATTTTACCAGCCGAAAGCCAGATTACTGCAATAATCAATAGGGGCTATTTTCTAATGATTCTCGGGACACTCAAGGCTATCGAAATAATTTTCTTCCCAATTAAAACCATTCTGAACTGCTTTAAAGGTTTTATAATCATAATCTCTGGGATGCTTTGGGATCATCTAGTTGTGCATAACAACAAAGTTATCAAAATAAGTTTAATTCCGATTGAAACAATTCTTAAGGATTTTACATTACATTAAAGCCTTAAATTTTATCTATGACTGAAACCATTATCCATTTTAAAGATATTAAAATCATGATCTCTGGGATCATGTAGTTATGCATAACAACAAAGCTTTTAAAAGAAGTTCATCTGTGCCTAAAGCAATTCTGAATCATTTGAATGATATTAAAAACTTGCTGAGTGCATGCTGCAACTGTGTGAGCTACATACATTTGTATGTTAGGAAAGGGCTGCGAAGGAGAGTGACTTTTTAGTGGCATGACCAGACTACTGCTGATGGCGGACCACGTACACATGTCGAAAACTAACTGCAGCCGCCGCTGTCCTTGCTCCCCCTTCCCCCCCTCCTCCTAGCCATCATCAGGAGCTGCAAAAATTTCAGCCATTTGTCCTGCATGCTTGCGGCATAAAAATATGCCAGGGCCAGCATTTTCATGCGGGTCATCTACTTGGGACCGGGTTCCCATCTCCCAGCTCCCAGCTCCCCATTCCCTATTCCTAACTCCGATTCCGACTGCAGCTGCAGCGCCCGAAAGTCAGGCTGCTACGTGTGTGACTGGGCCCTCAGAGAGTTTGGGTTTTTTCGGGACCAGCTTCTCTGCTGCAACTTTTCGGGGCAGGGCAAAAATCACACAGAACTGGGCAGAAATAAAACTACTCCTAGTTGGCTGGAAAATAACAAAGGGGCGAACCAAAGGGGCGTTCGGCAAATGGACTCTGGCTAAAAATGCTGCTGGCACTTTCGTAAAACATTCCAAATACAAATAAAAATCCAAGGCTTGTGAGTCACAGCAATCATTTCCAATGCAAAACAAAATTTCATTTTGTTTTACTTTTC